GTATAATCTTCTTTTTCTTTTTTTTATAGAAGTAACCAGCTTCAACCATCAACTAGTTGATTTTAACGAATTTAACCGAAAATTTAGAGTTTAACACGGTTTAATTAGACTGCTGCCATTTTTCTGGAAACCATAATTCAGAAAACATCGCTTTTAAAATTAGTGAAATTATTATTCAGTGGGGTCTAAAACAAAAAGTAAATTTTGCAGTAACTGATAATGCCTCAAATATGGTCATAGCTATTAAATATGCTTTGGAATGAAAACATTTAAATTGTTTTGCTCATACGTTAAATTTATTGATGGAGGACGCACTTAAATGCTGTCGTGTACAAATAGATAATTTTTTCGGCAATTCGGCAAAAAACACATTTCAAAAAAGTACCTTATCTTCAGAAACGCTTTTAAAGTATCAATTACAACATAACAAATATCCCAAACGGCCAATCCAAGACGTGGAAACTAGGTAGAACTTCACCTATTACATGTTAGAAAGAATTACGGAGTTAGAAGAGGCAATCCGTTCCACATTGGTATCAGTTAATACAGACTTAGACTTAGACCAAATCTAAATAATGAAGACTGGATTATTTTTTCGTAATTGTCCTAAATTTTACGGCCTTTTAAAGAAATAACAAGTACAATGAGTGGCCAAAAATACTTGAATGATAGTTCAGTGATTGTTCTGGTACGCTGCCTGCAAAAATCTTGCAATAAAATTTTAGCAAACAGTAACCTTACATCCATAGTTAGTATCCGACGTAGTACGGGTTTTTATTACTAATTACGGGATAATTACTAATCTCGGGTTTAGCAAAAAGATTTAGAGGGATAGAATACAGTGGCATATTGTCATTATGTACGTTTATGGATTCACGATTTAAAGTGCAGGGATTTTCTGATAAAAATGACGCTAAAAAAACAAAAGAAAGAGTTAAGAAGCTGGTTACTTCTATAATTAAAGAACAAGAAGATTGTACTATTGAAAATCAACCAGTATAAGAAAAAGAAACCGATAAAGATGACTTAAGTCCATGGTGTATTTTTGATCAATTAATTGGACATGACTCATCTAAACGTACACCTGTAGCGAGAGTCCATTACAATGGTGGAAAAACCATCGCCATGTATCTCCTAACTTAACCACTATATTCATAAAGTATTGTAAATGTGAACACATGTTCAAAATCAGGTTTAATTTTAAATAAAAGAAAAACACAATTAATAAGAAGTAAAGTAAAAAAACTTATGTTTTTAAATGTCAATTTAGACCATTCGTGATTTAATAATAACGTGTAATGTAAACGTAGGTACGATTTACTATTTGTATTGTTTAAAATCTTTTATTAGTTTCCTTCACTTCAATAAATATACAGATAAACGATAATAGCCATTATGTTTGTTTATGTAGGTAGTTTCTTACTTGAAACTACTATTAAAAAATCATAGTTACTTGTTTACGAAAATCGGTTTTGCGACGTCAATGACCCACCTCTATTCGTAAATACCTGTTTACGCTTTTGATTCGGTGATTTGACCACGCGACACGCCACGTTGGCAAATAGTTTTGTACGAAGCTTTTTTATTTATATGCAGTTTAATATTTTTATTGGAAATAAGGCATAATGTCACTTTAAAATAAGCTTATTTTGATGTTTAGATTTTTAATTCGGAAATCGTTTTTAAAATACCAAACATTAATAAATTTTATTTATATAAAACGATTTCCGAAGTATAAATCAAAATGTTATATTACACTTATTGTAAAGTAAAATTGTGGCATATTCCCAATAAAAAACAATAAGCTGCCATTTAAATCCATTTCGCCCAAATTTCATTATCTTGGAGCATTGTTCAAATGCGAAAAAGACAACAGGTCAAATAAAACCAATAAGTTTGGCAACGTTGAATTTCCCCTTTTTATTATATCCACTCCATATCCACTCACTTATGTTCGGTGATATAAAAGGCGGACACCTAATATATCTCTCTCTTTTTAAACAGTTGTTTCTCACTCCATCTCATGTAAGGTCCATACCGACCATAAACTTTTACCTATACTGTATATATATATATATATATATATATATATATATATATATATATATATACAGCTTTTTTTTATATTTAATTAGGTAATTTTGGCATTACTCTAATACCGTGGGGCAATTTATTAAATAAACTGATGCCAGAATATTTGGCATTCTTTTCTGCCACACTCGATCTGTGAATGGAATAAATATACTTAATCTTCCTATATATTTCTTCTTATATATTTCACTACTCCACGTAGTGTTTGGTCGCGCGATCTTTCGTTACAGTTGTTTCATTGCGTTTCAGTCGTTTTTATTTACTTCTGCGCGATCCACCGCACGGCACCGAATGTATTCCGTCCGTAGCGCGCGATAAGAATGCTATGGGCTTTCCAAATTTTCCCTTAAATATCCAATGGAGTTCGAAAACTTGAGTGCTCTAATATAATATATAAAAATTCATCAACTTGAAATAATTTTCCTAAATTTGGAAAATTACATAACCAAAATTTTCTATTGAAGGCTGAAGTATAAATTATTGTGTGAAAACTATTTACTTAACGATTGGCATGAAAGTTGTTTTTGGTATTTTAACACATCAAAAAGTTTTTATTTCCGAATATTAAACTTACATATTATATAAACTATAGGGTTCAAAAAATTGAGAAAAAAGTTAGTTTATTTTGACATGTATTATAAATAATTGTTACCTTGTAATAAGAGTAATTATTTTTACGTTTCCAACATTATATTATGTCAAATTTAATTACAAGTGTTTCTTTAACTTTTTTTTGTGGCCAGTATTTCTCAAATTATAAAGAACAAAAGCACCAAATAGTTTTTTCTGTAATTTCTACGGTTGATTTTTTTGCGAATTTATTTACAATCTTTTGTGAGATACTATTGTACACATCTAACAACCCCCTAGGTAATGTACAGGGTAACAATCGGGAGCCAGGTATTTTTAAAACGCATAGCACGAAGCTTGTTGGGATGAGAGTGGAACAAGCGCGGCGTTACTACCTCTGTAGTAGTGTGCTATTTCAGTAAACACCGAGCAGTAGTGGACGCATCGAGCAAAAAGACAAAAGAGGGAATGTAAAGGTAATAGGGGCAAAAATATTGTTAGACAGTAAGTGCTATCTTGAGAGGCCACATTAAACAAGGAAAGAGAGTCTCTTTCCTTGTTTAAGAAATCAAATAAAGTTGGGTTATGTTATTGTTGATGTTATTGTTTGTCCCAACTATCACATGAAAGATTATTTGTATTTTCTATTGAAGTTTTTTAACAATTGCTTCACATTTTAGACTATCATCGTTATTATTTAATTAAAACTTTATTGTGTTCTAGTGTTAAAAAAAGTATTTTAAGTGTATTATGTATTAATATTATGTAATATTAATATTATGTAATATAAAATAAATAAATAGACAAATTAGAACCCCTACATCACTGTATGATTATTGTGAAGTATCATGAAATTTAAAATTGGCGCATTCGCATTTCTGGATATGTCCGCCATCAGAGGCCACTTTTTTGATCTCCTTTTCATAAAGATTAGATTCCCTCTTTTGTCTTTTTGCTCGATGAGTGGACGATAGAACATAGCACGTTTACATACTACACGTTTATCCGAAATCAAGAATCAGTTATCACTACGCAGCGGCTTTTTCGCACTCACTTTAAAACTGGTAGGTGTGGAGCGGTTCTATCTCGAAATACATTCTTAAGATGGATAAAGGATTTTAAAAGAACAGGTAGTTTGATGAAAAAAAAAAGCACTAAGATCCGAATAGAACAGTAAGAACTCTTTTAAACATACAGCGAGTGGGAGATGCCGTCATCAGAAGCCCTACACGGTCCGCCGGAAAACATGCAATTGAATTAAACATTAATCGGGAATCGTTTAGAAAAATTTTGCATTCGGACCTAAAATTTCGCCCCTACAAATTGCAGATTGTCCAGAAATTAATGGAAAGAGATGTTGAGCAACGTGATGATTTCGCTACGAGAATACTTCTTTTGGACTTGGGTCAGCATATTCTAATGAGCGACGAAGCTGATTTCCATTTGGACGGAACCGTTAATAAACAGAATTACAGGTACTGGGCTCCTGGAAACCCACGAAATCTCCATGAGCATCCATTACATTCTCAAAGTCACAGTGTGATGTGCCATTGGCCCGACTGGCATTATTGGGCCATATTTTTTTGAAGAGGCTGGACATATCATCACACGCACGGCACGTTCTGCCCATGCTTCGATGAATATTCTCCGCAACCTGTTACCAGGACAACTCATTTTACGTTTCGGAGATTTGCCGTGGCCTTCAAGGTCTCCAGATCTGTCAATTTGTGATTTTTTTTCTATGTGACTATTTAAAGAGTCGTTTATATGCTAGCAAGCCTCGTAATTTGATCGAGTTGAAGAACGCAATTCGCCAGGAAATCCTGATTATTGATCGAGCGATGTTACAGCGTATTATGAAGGATTTCATAAAGAGAATCGAAAACGGCATCCAACTTGATGTTTATCATCTTGATGACATTATTTTCCATACTTAATTAGACTGTAAATGGCATAATGTAAGCTTCATTTTATTGTTAATAAAATAGTATTTTCTTGCAAATTTCTTGTGTACCATTTAGTTCAACATCGTCCTATTGTCAATTGTCACTCTGTATTTTATATCTTTTATGTTTTTAAAGTGGCATCTTGGACACCATGATACCAATAATCATGTTTAGATTTTTGTAAACTTGAAATAATGTTAAATAACATACCAAGCAACAAAACTTATCTTTTCATGGTTCGGGCCTAACTTAATACTACTACTAATACTACAATAAATTAATACATATTTGATGAAGCTGTTGATTTAATGCTTGTTTCAATTTTCTTAATGTATATTGTACACTTGAATCAGAAAGATATAAACAACATTTTTCAATGGTTTTACTTTTTAGTTTCTCCCAGTACAAGTAAAGTCTTGGAAGAAGACTTGGACTCACCAGATGAAAATAATTTGTCTCCGAATATGGCATTAGTAGCATCTAGTGATGGAATATTGTGTCCAAGTATGCATTCTCTCAAGGAGGAGTCTCTAAATGATTCGTAAGTGATAAAAATAATTTTTATCAGTTAGTACATTTATTATAATTAAAAAGCTGTACATTAACAAAGTGAACATACAAGTTTAGAAATAGTTGACAATAATTAGATTTTTAAATGAAACAAACATTTAAAATGTGAGATATTTGAAAATTTGAATTAATAAATTTAAATAACAATCAAACTGCTAATGGCAAAACTCATAATGACAAGATTTTGTATAAACTCTAGGGATTTACAGTTACGATAACACTAAACTATGAAATAAATGTAAACCATGTATATTTAAATCAATTTGATATTTCTAAAAGTTCCTGGTATCCGCGACCCCCATTACCACGTCCATTTTCAAAATATTGAATTAATGTAGACACAACTTTTCTACAACGACTATTGAGTTGATTTGGTATATTGTAGATAGAAATAGAATAAATAACTGTTTATTCGCAGAGTTTTACATTGGTTTATCTTAAAAAAACATTATATCATCATTCTCTTAGACTTTCTATGCGTGGTCGACTTTCCTAATAACATTTCTTGTCTAAACGTATTAATTTTCTTTGGTTTTCTGCTCCTACTTCTTCTTGGAACTTACAACTGGTGAATCCTTCATATTGGATGAATATTATTTCGACGTTGAATATGCACTAAACATTTAACGTATGTTTTCTCATTTTGTTACTTCACTCGTCCATCTAAGCATTCTCATTTCTGCCACATGCATTTCTTGTTCTTATTTATTTTTACCTACTGCATGCTTAATAGTAACTAAATCTGTAAATGAACATTCTAGACCCTTGTGTTTTTTCCTACTAAGCTTTTAACCTTTTTCTTCAAGAGCTTGTTTCCACAAAGCTATGAGAATGAGAATAAATAAAGACTAAACACTGAGCCCTGATGCAATCCTACTTTCAGATAAAATTTATCAGTGTCTCTCTTAAATGTAATAACAATAGTTTTTACTCTCTCGTACATATTTCTCACAATTTTCACATATTCATAAGGAACTTTCTTATTGAGTTCCCACTACAGAGCCTGTCGAGGAACTGTATGATATAATTTCTCAAGATCAATGAATCTCTAATCTGTTTTTTTGGATATTATACACTTGAGTGCAAAAAAACCGACTCAAAATTATTTTGCGAAAGTACGTCCCTGTTTCAATCAAAAAAGGTGTAAATTTAAAAATATTTAGTGTACAATTATTAACCTCATTATTGAGTTTGAAAAAAGTTTTGATTTTTGGTAAATCGGGTGACGTATTACAAATAAATAATGCAACACCTAGAGAGGGGGTCATAATTTGACCCATTGAAATCGACACGCACCCACTTAACACATTTGGTTAACATCGTAAGCATTAATTTCCATAGCAACCCACTAATACATCAGTCAATTAAGTTCGCAACTTCATAACAAATGGATACCACATCCGTCAAAGCAGCTCAAGCAGTAGCATTATTGAGAGAAGACCTGAGCCAGAGAGCGGTGGTAAATCGACTAAATTTAGCAAATCTTCTGTGTCCCGAGTGTATCGTCGGTACCAAGATACTGGTGATTATGTCCGCCGACAAGGATTAGGTCGTAAACGAATAACAACAGAGAGAGATGGTCGATTTCGTGTATCTAAATCTCTGAGAAATCGGCATTTGACTGGTGTTTATCTCAAAGAAGAGCTTAGAGAGATCCGAGGTGTGGTTAACAGCGTTTGAACAATCAGAAGGAGACTGAAAACAGCCAACCTGACACCAAAAAGGACAGCTACTGGTCCCAAACTAACTGCAGCCCAGAAGCAAAGACGACTAGAATTTGCTCGCGAACATCTGGATTGGGACGACTATCAATGTAATCAGGTATTATTCTCCGACGAAAGTAGGATCTGCCTACAGGGCAACGACAAGAGGCGTCGAGTCTATAGAAGGCCAGGGGAACGATTTGCTCAATGTTGTATACGAGAAATTGTGTCATATGGAAGCGGTTCTTGTATGTTTTGGGCAGGCATTTCCTTGGATGGGAAAACCGAGCTGGTTTTCATACCTGGTGGAGGACGTCAAGGAGGTTTAACGGCGGATCGTTACATCAGAGATATTTTCGAGGAACACGTGATTCCATACGCGGGATTTCTTGGTAATGCCTATATTTTATTGCATGATAATGCACGATGTCATACCGCACGAGCATCGAGTTAGAATCTATGGAGAGGGCATCACGTGACTAAAAACGACCTCACTTCGGCCATATTGTTAATACTATTGTTAATATTGTTTTGACACTTTTGACAGATCGTATAAGTTTATTTACGTTTGTTGTTTTTCGAATATTTTAAGTTTTATAATACTTTTATAGAAACTGTAATAATATATTGTGATAGTGCTTAATAATGGTTTCTTGTTCTCAACGTAGTTGCAGTAGCAGAAGCAATGCTAATAAAAAATCTTCAGGAATAACGTTGTACAGGTTAGTATACAAATATGTAAACAAAGTAATGGCCCGTACTTCAGAGAATAAATTAATAGTATTTGACTGTATTAATTTATCTTTATGTATAATATATCGTGTTAGTTTTTACCGCGGGATAAATAAATCATAGTTTATTAAAAATGTATTGCACTTTTTTAGATTATGATTAAATCTTCTAAATAACTAGTCATATTTTTATAGTAGTTTTAATATTATTGAGTCCGGCCATGATCCCCCCGCCATATTGGTATTATCATTAGCCACACCTACCTACGCCGTTTTTAATACACACGTTAATATGCTCATAGCTTCTCCATAGATTCTAACTCGATGCGCACGAGTCACCACCACGTATCTGACTGAGATCGGTATACTTACAATAAATTGGCCTGCGTTGAGTCCGGACATAAATCCAATAGAGCATGTTTGGGATGAGCTTAAACGAAGTGTCCGGAGCAGAAATCATGCAATAAGGAGCATAATGGAATTGAGAGCTGCGCTTAATGATGAATGGGAAGCAATGCCTCAAGAATTGTTTAGAAAAGTCATCCGATCCATGCAAAATCGATTGGAAAGTGTTAATTAGGAATAGGGGTGGTAATATCAGATACTGAAAAACAAAAAAATTCCATTTTGTAATTGATTATTTCTCTTTTCATTACGTCTTTCTTGGGATTATTTTGTAAGTTCAGTAATAAAGTTACTGTTTGCACATTACATCTTGTTATTTTCACACTTCTTACATTAAAACAGAAGGTGTAATCTCAAATATCGCTTTTGAGTCGATTGTTTTGCACTCAAGTGTAGTTGCTTCACGTATCCGTCTATCAATTATTGTCTCTCATATTTTCATGCTGTGACTGAGTAGTTTTAGGCTGCTGTATTTTATGTATTGCTAAACATCTCTTTTGTTTTTCTAAACAGGTATTAATATAATACTTATAGAAGGTTTATTCGTCTGACATTTCTCCCACTTCCATAATTTTATTAAACAAACCAACTTTTTCGTATCTCTCTTAATGTTTCCTCACTTTCCATGAGATATTATCTAGTCCAACTGCTTTACCTTTCTTTATTTTTTGAAGTGCTTGAGTATTTTATTTGTTTGCTATTTTAGGGAACATTGTTGTTACTGTGTCCGGGGTCAACTGGTTTTCTTTTGAATCCTTCATTTAATAAATTGCCAAGGTATTTTTTCTGTCGCTCTTTTCGTAAATTAGTATTTTATTATTTTAGCCTAGGATATCTTCTTCTTTTTCTTCTTCTTCTTCTTCTTCTAATGGCACTACAACCCTTTGCGAGTCTTGGCCTGCTTAACAATGTTCTTCCATTCTGCCCTGTTGGATACTTTCCTTCGCCACTGTCTGATGTTCATGGTTTTAAGATCACTCTCTACAGTCTTTGTGACTTTACAAATCTAACAATATCTGCGCTCTGCATTAGTTCATCAAGCTCGTGGTTCATTTTAATTCTCCACGAACTATCGCTGCATTGGGTTGGTCCAAATATCTTCCTTAGTATTTTGCTCTCAAATATTTTCAGTTGATTTTCATCAGTGGTTTAGAGGGTCCACGTTTCACATCCATATGTGACCACTGGTCTAATTAAGATTCTAAGCTTAGACTCATTTTTCATTAAGTTTTTGTATGCCTAAAAGCACTTATTACCGCTAAGAATCCGTGCTTGTATTTCTTGACTGATGTTGTCATTTATTATTGAGCCTAGGTAGGGAAAAGTGGAGGCATATTTGTAGGTATGGTTGTCTAACTTCAGATTCTCATGTTGATTAGAATTTGTGCACTCCATATATTTTGTTTTGCTTTCATTTATATATAGACCAAATATAGCAGCTTCTCGTTTACCCTTTGGTGCTGCTTATTATGACATCATCCGCATATGCGCATATTTGCATTGATCTTATATTAATACAGCCGTTTATATCCAGTTTTCTACATCTATTCTCACCATAGCTTTGGAACCCTCCAGAGTCATTCATAAAGTTTAACCAACTTGTTAGGAAACTAATATAACATAACATAAGAAACATAACTGTTATAGAACTAATTTCTTAGTTCTATCATGTTACCCAAAATTTCCCGTTGCTACTGTTCTATTAACTATGTCAGATATAATATCAAAACGTCAGAAAACAAACTGTCACCGATTAGGGAAAAATTTAAATAATTTCATAATTTAGCAGACAGCAAGAGTAATGCAAGTAAAGCAAGTAATGGGGATTAATTAGTTTTTTTTTATATTGTTAATTTTATATATTGTAGGAATTTGATTTGTTTTTTTCGCAAATAAAAACAGTAAACTACAAATCCGTCAATTGCTGGCTGTTCAATAAAGAAAAATTCCCACCAAATATATTCTAACTTTAAACAACCTTCTTGATAAAATATGCTCCTTGAGCCTTAATGATTGCAGTACACAAAGGGCGCAGTTATGCAATAAACGTGTTAATTGTTTTGTGAAATATTGTTCGACACTTCTTCCACAACACTTCACATATAGAATTTGGACACATCTCTCCCACTCCCTGTTCAATTTTATCTCATAACAACTCTATTTGTTATGGAATATGCGTTGGATCATTATATGCTGTATTATAAATATTAAGTTTTAGGTAGCAATTAGTGATAACCCTATATATATCATCATCATCCAGCCGAATTTTCACATCCATTGTTGGATATAGGCCTCCTCCAAACGTCTCCAGTTCTCTCTATCTCTAGCTGCTGCAATCCAGTTTGTTTCTATTCTCTTTAGGTCGTCGGTCCATCGGGTGGGTGGTCTGCCTCGACTTCGCTTGTCGGCTCTTGGTCTCCACTCCAATAATCTCTTCGTCCATCTTGCGTCTTCCATTCTAGCAACATGTCCAGCCCACCTCCACTTTTGTTTATTGATTCGCAGTATAATATCGTCTACGCCAGTTCGTCGGCGTATCTCCTCATTTCTTACGAGATCTTTCAAGGTCAGGCCCAGCATTGATCTCTCCATTCGCCTTTGTGTTACCCTCAGTTTTTCGGCAGTAGCTTTCGTTAAAGTTAAGGTCTCTGCTCCGTAGGTCAAGACTGGTAAGATGCATTGGTTAAATGCCTTCCTTTTCAGGTGAATTGGGATATTTGTTTTAAAAATGTCTCTCATCCGTCCATATGCCGCCCATCCCAACGTGATTCGTCTATTTATCTCGCAGGTTTGATTGTCTCTGGTTATTCTAATAGAATAAATATATATATATATATATATATATATATATATATATATATATAATATATTATTATATATTAATAATTATTTATATAATAGTATTATATATTATATATTAATAAATATTATATTATAATAATATATATATTTATATATATATATATATATATATATATATATATATATATATATATTATATAAATGTTATTGTATCATCATCATCAACATGTATGCGTCCACTGCTGGACATACGTCTCCCTCGGCTCTTTTCATCTGTCTCTGTATTGTGCGACTAGCGTTCAGTCACTGCTAATACGCTTTAGGTCATCAGTACATCTGGTTGGTATGCGTCTTTCGCTCCGTAGTGCTTGTTGTTTAGGCCTCCACTTGACAATTTCGTTTTGCCCTTCGGGTGTCTGATAATCTGGCGACATGCCCTGCCCAATTCCATTTTACCGACGCCATTTTTTCGGTAGTGTCTGTTGTTTTTGTTCCACGGCGTGTTTTTTTGTTTGGATTGTTTGGGATTCGGTGTCTTGGAGGGACACCCAACAACTGGCGCTCCTTATCCCTCTGAGTCACGGGAATCTAGTTCAGTACGTTTTTTGTGCGTGTTAATATTTCCGCTTCATAAGTGAGTACAGGTAAAACACACTGGTCAATGATTTTCCTGTTGAGGTATATGGGTAGGTCCGATTTAAATACTTAGTTTAATTTACCAAACGCTACCCAGGCTAATCCTATGGAATGTGTTTGCTCACATGTTATTGTATACATTGTTTTAAATACCGTAGATAATACATCACGTCCCTTATTCTATGACTGTTGTCCGAATGATAATGATTCAATAATATGACAGAATTTCAAATGCTTAAGAAAGTTCAATAGGAAATAGAGATAATAGACACACACGCACATATTCTGAAGAAATACGCTGAAAAGCTGATTAGATGCTGGTCAAGTTTGCCAGAGAAAAAAATTTCAAAAGTTCTTGCTTTGATATGAGTCAAGGAGATTTAATTCTTTTTTGAAAAGTCATCCTAGATCTAAGAAACATTTTTGTTCGCAGCAATCTCAAATACTAATTATCTCGCATCATTTCTTCGACTATATACAATCAACTATCTATAGTCATCTTTTAACTTAATTATAAACCTAATCCACACTTTATACCTAAACCTAATAAAAACGTTATTTTTATTTATATCGCTTTGTATTTTTATTGAATCCTTTATATATATCCTTCATATGAGGCATAAAAACCATTTTTAGCTCTATGGATGTAGATGAAGTTGGGGAAGATTTTAAATTAAATGAAAAAGGCAAAAATAAAATTATCTGCCAGTCAGTGGACGGGGAGAAAATTGCCTTTTATGAATCATGTGAAGAAGATGACAATTCAGATCAAACCGACGAAAATAAAATTTTCTACAGCTCAACAAACGGGAAATTTATTTTCTACAAATCTATAAAAAGAGAAACAGATGGGTATGTATGCGACGCATGCGGTGATAGCTTTCCGAGTCAGCAGATATTGTCTGAGCATTATTTACACCACGCAGAACTTAGGTTCATGTGCGATAAATGTCCAAGAATTTTCAAAACAGATAGTGCTCTCAAGGCACATTTCAGGTAACTGTTAAATATATATCTTAATTTGATTGCATGTATTATTAAAACAGCAGTATTTCTATTTGACTATTGTTGGGCAAATTTAATTTTGTCTCTGATCTTCGGATGCACAATGGCAAAGTGGGAATTACTGGAGGAAGTTACTATTTGAACTAAGCGCACCATCTTTGTTACTTTTAGTGCGATCGCGTTCTTTGCTTCCGCAATTTCAGAGACAACATGAATTTTTCCAAACTTCTCCAATAATGGTATTCTCCAATAATGGTCTTCTCCAATAATGGTAAAATATTTATTGTTGCATGTTATAAATGTATTGCACGTTATCAATAAAGGGTACCTATACGATTTCATAAAATTTCTCCTCTTACTTTAGTTATTTTAAAACCCTACTGTTCTGCAAGTACGCGAAGTTGCCAAACAAAAAATTTATAGAGTTCGTTTAAAAATTAAAGAAAGTAATTTTAAAAGTTTGATTTACACCCAAAAATATTACTAAAACCGTACCAGAATCTTGTTTTTATATAGAAATTTTTCTTTCATGATCATCAGACACCACAGTAATTTCTGTGTTTAATAGGCCACAAATTTAATAAAACATAAAAATCGTGTATTTTGTTCGACTTTAATTAAATTTCAATTAAGTTCTTCAGACTAAAGTCTGCTACTGACTTTGAGGTTTGTGTCAGGAGACGATATCATGATAATGTGTCTTGATACATATCTATCTCTTTATTGAGTACTGTCTCTTTTGGTTTCATGGCATCGTGATACATAAATTAATTACTATTTAACTGGGAATAAGCCACAATTAAAGATAAAAATACGTTTATTTTTATTATTTTATTTTATTTTATCTTTAATTGGGGCTTATTACCAGTTAAATAGTAATTAATTTAAAATGCCACAAGAAAATAGCTTCAGAACAATATCGTGATACATGTATCGGTATATCGTCGTTTACGGGAGACACGTAGACAAAATTGCTGATACCCGATGCCTATCTTTTCATACATTCTTCACATTTGCAACAAAATATTGCTGCAGAAAATGCAGATTCTTGCATTTCTCAAATAATAAAAACAATTACAAAGTAAACCTAGATATTCCAAAGCGAGTTTATTACAGAGAAGATTAATCATTTTGCTAAGAAGATTTTTACAAGATTTTCGTTGGCCAAGGGAGCTCCAAACTGAGTAGGACTCCGCAAACGATACACTAGAAAGTTCTTATTCCCGACTCAGCGCGTCCCAATGGCTAATAATAAACGTTATATGGAAATATAGGATAAGATGACAGGTTCACACCTGTCCTGAACATCCTATTGGAATACAGGACAGGTGTGAATCAAGTATAATTAAATTAAAGACCCTCGTATCTACTGAGAGCATGACATGCAGTTATGCCATTACCTATAAACTTTTGATTGAACATGGAACACACACACAAACACAACTGCAATAAAAGAGTTGCAAAAAATGCTAATACTCGATTTTGTAGCGGTCAAGGATGCAATGACTGCAGGTTTCGATTTAATACTAGACTTACCTTCTTTACGTATACATGTAAGTAGGATCGCACTAGAAAATGCCTTTAGACTAACACCTTTAACTACCGTCTATAGACTTCATATTCAACGAATAAATATGTACTGCAAGGTTATCGACTGTACCCGCTAGTTCTTCTTCTTCTTAAAGTGCCCTCTCCTCAATGGAGATTGGCTACTACAATTTTAAACTCTTCTCTATCTTCAGCTGTTCTTATTAGCTGTTCAAAATTTAGCCCTGTCCATTGTCGGATGTTTCTGAGCCATGATAGTCTTTTCCTTCCTAGGCCTCTCTTTCCCTCGATTTTTCCTTTCACTATAAGTTGGGCATATTGGTACTTATTATTTCTCAGTATGTGGCCTAGGTATGATGTTTTTCTTACTTTTACTGTGTTAAAAAGTTCTCTTTCCTTGCCTATTCTATGCAGCACTTCTTCGTTTGAGGTATGCGATGTCCATGAAATTTTGAGTATTCTCCGGTAGATCCACATTTCAAAGGCCTCCAATATTTACGGTTGATGTTTTAAGGGTCCACGTTTCAACTGCATATAGAAGAGTCGACCAGACGTAGCATTTTGATAAACGTAGTGGAATTTCGAGTTTTATTCGAGAATCACAAAGCAAGTTCATTTAGGTAAATTACTATTTAACTGGGAATAAGCCACAATTAAAGATAAAAATACGTTTATTGACGTTTCAATTTCCACTTCGGAAATCGTTCTCAACATTTCAACAAGAACGATTTCCGAAGTGGAAATTGAAACGTCAATAAACGTATTTTTATCTTTAATTGTGGCTTATTCCCAGTTACATAGTAATTAATTTAAAATGCCACAAGAAAATAGCTTCAGAACAATATTCATTTAGGTAGGTAAAAAGGGTATTATACTGTGACCAAATAATAAATTGGGAGTATACCAATTGTTCGCACCTAAAAATAGATATGTTCAAATTAATATTCGTCGAATTAGGTGATAGAAGCAGTCGGGGTCATAACGGCCCATCACTAAAGGCAATGCCTTGTGATATTAGCAATTTCGTTTTCTGCTACGCCACACTCATTTATGATGATGTTTAGTGAGAATACGAAATCTTGTTTTGCATCCATGACTTCTTCAATTGCGTTCTTCCAATAAAACTGCAGGGTTGCAAGTGACGAAATTTCGACCAGAATAGAACTTGCACGAAAAAGCTTTATTAACTGGCATTCTGTATTGTGCAGTAGAAGTCTGTCATAAACCATACGTCCAAGAGTATTGAAGTGGTGAAGTGAAGACGTAAGTCTGGTCCGTTTTATTCTATGAATATGAAACCTGGACAACAAATATAATAATTTTTAACAAATTATAAGCGTTTAAGTTGTGGTGTTGCCGACGCATGCTCAGAATCCCATGGACAGCACACATATCTAACAGAGATATCACTGGAGACCATGCACAAAGAGCGAGAATTGATCAGCATCATCAAAATGAGAAAGGTCCAATACTTCGGTCATATAACGAGAGGACCTAAATATGGCTTACTATATGGATAATCGGTCTGAGAATTATAGTCTCACGGTATGGTATCCCGATACGTGTCGATACAAATCTCAGAGTTACGTTGCAACCTCGTCGAAATATCAAAACATAATCTAACAGCAATTTTCTACCACAATGATTGGTCCTGATTTTGTATTTGAAACGAAATAATACGATTTAATTCTAATAAGTACTGATTTTAATAAATATAAAAAGTGACATTAAATACGAAAATACAATAACCACGACATAGACGTTAGATTTAGTGTTATTATAATTTCAGTTTTCATTACTCAAATAAGTATATTTCTTTTGCGCAATATTGGTTGTGTTTCAACCATTCACATCCAAGAAGGAGGCAACTTAATTAAAATATACTATTCTTAGTTATTAAACAACCTTTTATGAATATTGACATAAAATTAACACAATTGATATATTTTTAGATTAAAACATACCGCCTATGAACGATTCAAATGTAATATTTGCGGCCAAATGTTCGCTAGAGGAGATTATCTCAAAAACCACGAAAAACATCATGTAGATTCACAAGATAAATACAACTCAAAATGTAAGACTCCCGGCAAATTTCTCCGTTTTAAAAATACAGGTAATTGAAAATTTTATGTTTTTTTCTAGCTCTGAATTTTCAAAATTCTATACTGCGAAAGATTTTTTCTATAACCTTCACCAATGAGAATCCTACAAAATAAACTGATATGACTTCACAATTTTCACAATAAATGCTTAAAATATGCCACGTGTTAACACATATTGCATGAAATAACAAAACCCAAATGGAAAAAGAATATGTCAGCTACCTCAAAATGAAAATATGATCATTAGTAACACATATATCCGTGACAAACAGATTCATGTTTGACATATCACAAAGCGATATCCAAATTATTCTAAACAGATGGAAATAATAGATATAAAACTTCGACAAGCTACTAAAACGTAAGAGTACAGAATATGCATGAAGTTCTACTGAAAGAAAGAAATAGATGGACTTTCTAAAGATTAAATTATAACTATAATAAGTCCATAAAAACAATGCTGCACCGGGTTCTAGTAATAGACGAATTAATAAAAAAAAAAATAGAGGACCAATACTTTATCAATTTAGAACGATTTATTATCACAAAAATATGAAACAACGGATGGGAACCTGAAGAGTGAAAATGAGGCCTTCCTTATACACGCCATTTATAAGTAAGGAAATAAAAAAGAGTACAGGAACTATGGAGGGATATGCTATATTAAATGTATCATACAAAATATTTTCCTTTCTCCTATACAGATCACGACATTGTTTTATTGACCATACAACGCAATGGCAATCGTGACATGTTACACGTTTCTACCTCTATATTCATTTCACAGTAGGTCCAAATTGTCACATTAACATTAAAAATTTCAAACGAAGTTCTGAAAGAATCAACAAATAATTAATAAAATGCCTATTACGTTGTATACAGTGAAAGAAAAAGTGCAACTTGTAACATGGTAGTTTCAGGGTCATTCGATACGCGAAGTAATTGATTTATTTATTGTTGCCTTCGAAAGTAGACCCTCACCAAGTGTTACAACAGTTAAAAATACCAGTAAACATTTTCATACTTCGGGATGTGTAAACAGTTGTAAAAAGTGCCATGAAGGTAATGAACCACGTGTTAGACCTGTCGATGAGGAGCGTCAAAACAGGGATATTGATATTTGTGCTTTTGTGGAAACTAGTGACCCCTGCAATAGTGTAAAAATTGCTAGGGAAGTTAACGTGAATGCTCGAACTGTCCAGCGTGTTCACCAAAGGAATGGGTATCACTGTTTTAAGATACAACCAACACGAGTTTTGTGAATTTATGTTAGATAAACAGAATGAAAATGTATAATTTTTAAAAAATATTTTATTTTCTGACAAATCTTCATTTTCATTGCATAAAAAACACAACCCATCCGTTGCAAGGTATTATTCTCGGAAAAATAAGCACCTCAGTGTTGCAGTGCGAATGCAGCATCTGCAAAAGTTAAATGTTTGGACTTGGATCTTAGGCGACCATATTGTCGGTCTATTTTTTATCGATGGAAACCTAAACGCGCCCAAATATTTACAACTTTTACAGAATGAGATCATTCCGGTAGTTCGACGCCTTCCCGTTAATTTTCAGGGGGTTTATTTCCAACAGGATAGGTGTTCGGCTCACTACTCTAGAGCAACTATTGACTTCCTCAATCAAACGTTTCCTGATCGACTGATAAGTACACGTGTACAATTAAATGGCCCTCTAGATCCTGTGACTTAGCGCCTAACGATTTCTTTTTTTGGGGTTTTCTCAAAGAAAACATTTATAGGCATGAGTTTGAAAGGGCCACAAACCTAGTCGAATTAAGGGTAAAAATACTTCATTTCTCTGCAAACATTACACCAGTCCTACTTCAAAATATGAGGAGAAATCTCTATGAGAGGTTAGAAATCTAACCAAATCAGATTTGGTTACTGTTTAGCACAAGGAGGTGGAATATTTGAGCCCTTAATTCATTAATTTATCTGCTTCCCTAATTTTTATTTTTTGTTAGGTACATTTTACGAAGTTTGTAGGTTCTTAATTAGTTAATATTTTTTATGTTTAAGTTTGGAAGAATTTTATTGTTTTTTTTTTATTTAAAAGTACAAACGATTCTTATTCTGATTTTTTTCTTCTTTCTTGTCTTATTGTTATGCTTTGTCCATAAAATTTGTACAATTTTCAGTGACCATAAAGCATATTACTTATTTACTTATTTATTTATTTGTATTGGTATTTGTAAGGCTAAAAAATATCCAAAAAATTTGTTTTAGAGCATTATAATAAATATACTCTAGAGATGGGATTGCTATAAATTTTAATTCCTATGGTCAACTAAACAATGTCGTTATCTGTATTACAAAATAACGTCTTATGCAGAAGAGATCTTTGGTGGTCGCCAATGCGAATTTTGTCCTACTCGATTTACAATCGATTATACACACCTATTGAACCAAAGATTAGAAAAGAACCACAAATACAACATTGACATAAACATCATATTCTCGATTTTAATTAAATCTTTGACCCAATGAACAGAATAAAACTGTACAAAAAACCACGGGTTCGGGGTTCTCGATCTCTCAACTCTAATGCTTAACCTCTTCCTCCAAGCAACTATATCCAACGTTAACATCAACGGTGCCATTTTGCGGTATACCATAAGGTCGCATAGTGTAGTTGCAAAAAATTGTTAACATTTAAACTCTCAAGTCACTATTCTATTAATTGTACACAATTTTAATAATATTCATTGTGACATATGGATGCGAACCGTGAAATCTGACCTGAAATCTTACGAAAGAAGAGTGTTGAGAGATTTTTGAGCCTTATAAAACGTTAAACTCGACAAATTAATCAATCATGGCGATATTGTATCTTATATTAAGCCTCTTGGCCTGTTTTTCACTTTGAGCTTGTATTCGTAGTTGTGATGCTGATTGCCAGTTATATCACCACCCTTCTTAGTGGTCTCTGTCCATGCTCGTAACATGCTGATTCCATTATCTATTTTCCCTAACCCTAGTTATTGACCTCAACCTTCTCATTTCTGATGTTCTCAATATTCTCTTGGTTTCCGCTGTATCGTCGGCTCTTGATTCTTCTTTTACTTCTTTTTGTGTAGACATAACCCTATCTGTGTTTTAATGTGCCTCCAGCAAGTTGTCGGTCCATCATTTTCATGGTCTTTCTACTGATCGTCTTTATATTGACGAACCTTCTCTCGTTGCCTTTACTACTCTATTTGTTGTCATTTGGCTTATATGCTCGTTCCATTCTACTCTTCTATTTCTTATCCACTCCTTGATGTTCTCCACCTTACATCTCCTTCGTATATCTGTACTTCTAGCATTTGTCCCATAGTGTCTTACATCGATTTTTCTAAGGGTTTTGATCTCTGCTGTTTGTAGCATTCTTTTTGTCTTCTCTGTGTCAGGTCGTGTTTCTTCCGCATATGTCATTATTGGTCTGATGACTGTTTTGTAAATTTTGCCTTTAATTTCTTTTCCCTGATTTTTGTCCTTTATGAATCTCAACACGTCTTTTAATCTGACACAATTGAAGGCTATAGTCAAGTTTATGTCACTTATATGCGGGTTTATTATATTCCAATTCTTGCTCGGCAATTTATCTGGCGTCTATTGTAGACCTATTTTGTCGAAAACTTAGTTGTTCTTCATTAATTATGCATTCTTTATATATTTTGTTAGCAAGTATTCTTGTTAAAAATTTGACTGTTATGCTCAGTAAGGTCATGGTACGGTAATTGGTAGGATCTTTCCTGTTTCCTCTCGTGTGTATTGGTATTGTCACTCATTATCTACTGATCTGGTACACACTGGCTATATATTATCTCCAGTAAAAGCTTCTCTATGTTTTCCATCAGCGTTTCTCCTCTATATTTTAAGAGTTCATTCGGTATTCCATCGGGTCCTGGGGATTTTCTGTTTTTTTTAATTTACATGTTATTCCTTATTTCCTCTAAAGTGATTTCTATTTCCTTTTCTGTGTTTGATGTTTTATAATTAATTAAATCCCATAAAATTAATTTACTAGGTGACTTGCACCAAATGGATAATGGCAGAACGAAATACCACCGAATGGAAGCTCACCGTAAACAGACGACGAAAAAAAGTTCTTCGTTCATACCGTGACATGTTTCAACCTATATTGGGCCTCATCAAATAGTGATAAAAATTGAAAATAGACTCGAGGAGAAGGTTAGGATATTTATATACTCGTAGCTATTTGCCAGCCTGTTGTTAAGATGAAGAATTGATACTTCCCACTGAGTACCTGGTTGTAATCTCCGTTTCTTAAAGTATTCTCTGAGGATGGATAGATCATTTGTGAGAGTGTTTTCTGTAGTTTTTAAGGATTGGTGGCGTGTTCCAAGAATCCAGTCTTCAGAATATCCAAACTTGCAAGGTTCGGTTGCAGGTATGTTAGCAATATAGAGTAAGATATAGATAAAAAGTAAAGGGGCAAGCACAGACCCTGTGGAAAGTCATTATTAAGTTTCATCTGTCCGTATATATTCTTTCCCATTATGCCCTGGAAGGCTCTATTTGTCAGCATGTTGTCAATGTGGCTGATTATCTCTATGCAGAGGATAATAGCGGACAGTTTATATATTAATCCCAGTCTCAAAACATTATCATATGCTGATGTTAGATATATGAATGTTGCGGCTGTTTTTCGAAGTATAAAAGTTGTTAGTGACAAGACTTGGTCCGTACAGCTTCCGCTAGGGCGAAAACCTGCTTATTCAGTGGGAACATTTTCAAGTATCCTGTGACTAATTCTGTTGAGGAGAAGTTTTGTAATACTTCAGTGTCGAACACTGAAAGTCAATGTTTCGTCTATGCACCACTGTGTATCAGTAAATCAGATGGATATCATCAAACCCAGGTAATTACCTGACTTCATTTCCTTCAGCGCATGTGTGATTTCACAAATAAGAATTCTTGCTGAATATTCTGAGTCTAACCCGCAAGTTTGTTGCGAGATATTTTTTTTTTGGATTTCAGTTGGATATATAGTGGATATATATCACAGGGTGATAACTTGAGCCCGTTATTGTTTAACTTGATAATGGGAAAACTAATAGACGAAATAAAAAGTCAGTAACAGGGTACATAATGGACAACAGAGCAATAAAGATTATATGCTACGCAGATGATACAATAATAATATCAAACAATGAAGATGACCTACGACAAATTTAATGGTCTAAGCTAACGCAGAAAAGTTTAACCTGAAAATGTCAGCACTAAAAACAAAGTCTCTCGTCAATGCTAATGAGTCAGTAAGATAAAAGAGAGAAAAAGTGAGAGAAAAACAAAATTGTAATAAACGAAGAAATAATAGAACAAGTATCGAAATTCAACTCGAAGAAGGAACCACATACAAGCTAATAAAGCAGCGTGCGTGCCAGGATGGCTAAGAGACGTGATATGAGGAAATAAGAGCAAGCGGATAGAAGGAAAAACACGCATATGTATGACTTGTGTTGGACCGATATTAACATATGCTATAGAAACAAGAGTAAAAACAACAATTGCAAAGAAAATCTTAAGAACAACAGAGATGAAAACACTGAGGGCGATAACAGCTAAAACTTTTAAGAGACAGAATCCCTAATACACAAATCACAGACATGTGTAAATACATTATATAGTCAGATGGGGATGCCAAAGAAGTCGAGAATGGAACCAACACATTAACAGAATGGGAAGAGAGAGACTTATCCGAATAGTAAGAGAAGAAAACCAGAAAGTAAAAGACCACAAGGCAGACCCCCTAAAAGATAGACAGATAGCTTGCAGTCAACATCGCAAATATTTGCTACTCAGACCGGAAACAACAGGAATAAAGGCCTAATATACGAAGAAGATTCCAGTTGGTTAGATCCTCAAATTTTTTGCAACAGGGACTATGTCTGTCGACTTGATTTTTTGAAGTCAAGTTTTTCGATAGTCTATCCATTGTTGGCGTCTAGCTGTATCACCACTTTGGATAAACTGCATGTATAAGACTTCATATGTTTCAGTCCATTCGGGCGCATATACTATGCAATACCTCCTAGGGATTGTTTTTCTTACAGCACTTATCACTTCATCCACAAATCTCTCATAATCTTTGCTGATTTGTGGGATACAGCTCTGGGGTGTTGCCTAGATATTCATAGAATTTTTCCAGTTCTTTTTTCTAAGATTACACGTAGGTCGAGGATATAATTTAATTACTGGAAGTGATATGCCGATGGTGATAAGCACAGGATGATGTTGAGTATATGGGAATTTGCAGTGACACTTCTCGCAGTTGTTAGTGCTCTATCATTCATATCTTTTGAGACAGGGTTATATCCTTTTTTTTTTTCATGCAGCTGATTTAAATATTCCCCTTTCTTTGTCATCAAAAACTGGATATATGTTTGCTCATCGAACCATTCGACCAGTTCCTCCCCATTTTCATCATTCGTGGTATACTTTACTTTAGGCGAACTAACATTACACTTCATTATCTAAGATACTGTGTCTATAATTAGATAAATATTGTGTCTATCTTCTGTCATTCGAAGTAGATAGCGCTATATCGCGTATCCACTCTGTAAAATAGGACATTTGGTCAAGAATCCTGTCTTTCTCTCTCCAAGTGTGTGAGTTATACTACTACTACTACTACCCCAAGTTTCTACTAGTCTTTTTACTCAGCTTGGAAATATTTTGGCAGCTTAATTGTTGGAAACACAAAAATTCCTACCTCTGACTAATAATGGCCCAAATAAATTTACTGTTGCAGACTTCTTTTACTGAAAAAAGAAGAATAATCATGAACAATGGGAGTATATATTCATTATGTTTCGAAAACGTTCCATTTATAAATACTAATCTATAAACGACTATAAAATTTCAAAAATAAACATTAAACCTTCTTTTTAATTTATTCAGTTTTAGTTTTTTAATGACTTGCAAATTAATAATTTTTAAGTAACAATTAATATTGGCAATAAACACGGGTTCTTGGTTGTATAGAAATTTCCAGTCACTTCCAGTCGGCCTAAACTTAACCAACGCAACAAAAAAAAATCTAAATTTCTAACTAGACAGTTGAGACTGGGAGCAGGGAACCGAGTATATCTGACATATTCAATATAAGCTGAAATATGATGGTGAGAACGAACAGATTTTTAGAGAGAAAGACAGGTATTCATGACTTCTGGAGTATAATACGTCGCCCTCTATAAGACGTGTGAGTATAAATAAGAAAAAATTGACAAATCTTTGATTTTTTTAGATGATCCAGTGCCATGTAAAATTTGCGGGAAATATTACAACGGTATCCAAAAACTGAAAGTGCACCTCCAGACTCATCTAGTGGTTAAAAGATTCAAGTGTAATTATTGCGAACTAACTTACAAGAGATGGCCTAGTTTAAAGCGACACGAAAAAACCCATCTAGAGTCTTCAACAACGTTCCATAGGTAAGAAACGTCTTATATAATTAATGAGACGATATGATTTTTGGTTTTTCTTCCATCGTTAGCATAGTCTGAATATTCAGTATGTATCTAAATAAGTTACAAAATTTGGATACAAGATTTTTTGTTAAATGGGTTTATTATCACTTTAAAATATTTAGTAAAGTTTGGTATGGCTGAAAAATTATTAAAAAATCTCTGTTCTATTGAATTTTGTCCTGAGAGGTAACAACTGAGAGGCGTAAGGTCCCTTTTTTGACGTTGGGACAAATCAAACAACAAGTAACAACAAATCGAATTTTTGACGATGTCGAAACTTCCTCAGACAAAAACGAAGTAGAAGAGAACCAAGAGAACACAGTAAAGTGCAATGAAACAATGAAGTGCAATGAAGTGGAGAAAGGAGACTTCTTCTTTAGCATATATGAAAGAATTTAGCGTAATATGAAGGCAAATCTCAATCACACATGATGAATATGGTTTACCAACGATACCTAAACAGTTGTCTTCGGAAATAAATCTTATCCAAAGGAACTTCCTAAGTCAATACTTAGGAACAATAGCGTTTCACAATTAAAACAACTGCTATATAGAAAATTCTTTCTTAGGTAATAACTCGGGTACGTTTGAACTATTGTTGATAAATAAAAAGAAGTACAAGATGTCATAACCGTACTTTTTCTAGTTGGTATTATTGGATTGTTTGTTTGTCAAGTTGGTTTTATTCAGTTTTGTCGTGTTATAGTTATTTTATTTAGTTGTTAGTTTATTTTATTAAACAGCATCCAGCCCTGCTTAATAAAAAAACAGATGGCGCTACACCTAAAGTCAAAGAACATGCTGACTGCAAAATTTAATTCCAGTTGCATAAAATCGCAACGTTTGCAATAACTGATTTATGGGTGATAAAGAACTGTTTCTGAAAAAGAAGTGAAATGGAATATATTAACATTTTGTATTTAAATTTGCACATACTTGCCTGTAATAAACTACAAATCATTTTCTATTTGATCCAAAAGATATAAAAAATGTTGGTTTGGACATTGGAAACTGTCGAAAGATCCAAATCGTCCAAAGTTTCAAAATAATTTGGTCTATCCTTTATAACTCGAGGTCTTTCTTTTGTTTCTTCTTCAGAATCAGATGACGATTCGAACCGATCCAGGTTTTCGAGAAATGTTAGCGCTTCCATATTATGAATAATACCAAAGCAACACTTACTAATTTAAAATAATACAAAAATACAACTAACTGTAGAATAACAACACACAAATTAAGGTAGGAAGCAAGTTATTGACAAACTTCACAAGTATATCCGTCAAAACTGTAAAAACATAACCTCACTTTCAACCATACCTAAAATGTTTAGGGAGATCATAAAACGTATCCTACCATAAGGTAATGCTTAAGTGGTTTAGGCAAATCTTAGCGTATGGTGAAATACGTTTTAGAATTAGGAAGTACCTAAGCCCAATTAGGTAATTCTTAAATATTTAGGTATCGTTGGTGAAATAGGACATTAGAGATAGAAACTGCTGCATGAATTTCGATAATTTATTCTCTAGTCTTTCTCTTATGAAAATGTTAACGTATGATTTGTTCCGCTGTAGAACTTTTAGAATAGATCGTAAAGGCTTTCCGACACGAATGAGATAGGACAAAATAGTGATTTCCAAAACAGAAAGAGGCCAGGATATACGTTAATAATAGGACACCAAAAGCTAAGAATATTTTAGTACAAAATGCATACAAATAATGTCTTGGCTCATCCTGGTGACATCTTCCTCGATAATTTCTGTTCCCTGGAGTTCCTCGATAGAGTTTCTTAACACTCTATGTTATTAGTCAATTCCATTTTTCTCCAGTATGCTTATATATTTTTACATCATCATTAATTTTTAGATGCAACGTATGTTGGAAACGATTTAGTACAAAAGAAGAACTCGAAATTCACGTAACCCAACATGGTAACCCGAGGTACCGCTGTCAAGTATGCGATGAACAGTTCCATCGGAAATACTTGTTTGACGATCACTACTTAATGAAACATGCAACTTCGGAAGATATCGAGAACTCGAAAAAAGAAGTTATTTATGACACACTGTTAGAACTTTCAACCCACAAGGAATTGACTGAGGAGTATTGAATATTGTTTATGTAAAATAAGATAAAAAATTATGTAAAACGATATGATATATATATATATATATATATATATATATATATATATATATATATATATATATATATATATATATTATATATAAAACTGTGCCATATTCTGTTTATCTGTAAATTTGTTACTAATGATCGAATATTTTTTAAGTTGTAATGTTTTATTGCTTTTTATTACCTTTTAATTTTTTGTGGATTATACGTTTTCCATTTTGCTATTTTGCATTCACAATGGGAAATATGGACACATATGTTATGTGTATGATTTAAAAATGAAAAATAGAAGAGAAGTAAGAACGCTGGTGTGACCTGAATCTGAAGGAAGTTTGGACATATAAGATAATGAAATTAATAATATTGAATGTTTGAAAAGTTCTTTACTTTATAGTAAAAAATATAATTTCTGATTTCAAAGAAGTTTTATTTTATAGCAACATGATCTTCTCGTATATATTTTTCCTCGCAGCCATTTTTCATTGCTCCATTTCTTTCTAATACATGTGGTAAATAAAGACAACATTTTTTATGTTGGTGATTATTTCTCGGAAATATATTTCTCATCCAAATATATTCAAAAACCATATTTATGTAGAGATATTTTATTCGTTGACATTTGCGGTAAAGTCAGTCCCTAAACAATTAAATCCTACGAATGTTCGAATTAGGAGCGTAATGCCAAAGTTGTTCGTGAAATTTTCTAGGACAGTATTTACATTGTGGTAATTATAAAAGGGAAAAATTTGTTTGTACTTATATCTGCTTTTTTAAACAATTTGTAACCTATCAAGGACGGTAGATAAGTGTGGCTAATGGAAGATGGTAAATGGTCTGATAATTGGCAACACGGTTATACAAATAACGATACTAAGGTCCTGACCTCAGTCGGTGTTCGTCAGAGCTAGACTGCAAGTGGTTCACGAATGAGGTAACAAGAAAGAGAACGTAAAGGAAATAAGGCGAGAACGATAACTGAGAAGATACAAGATGATTACTACACCGTTCGGATAACGTATTAAATTGGTGAAATTAAATTCAGCCGGTATGCGCAGAAGTACAATAACGTTGCTAAACACTAACAAGAGTATGGAAGGGTAATTATATCTCATGATAAACTTTATTAATGCGACATATACAGTGTAGGTAAAAGTTTATGGTCGGTATGATAAAATTTAACAGGATATCTAACACATATATAAAATCATATTTTCAGCGAATAGACAAAGATCACAATCATATTTCCCCTTGGTCTCCCCTCCATATTTCTCATTGACGTCTGTTGTCCATTAGTGAGACGACTAGTTCCGATCAGAGATATTTTATATATCTCTGGTTCCGATCCTAATATAGCTAAGAAACCAGAGGTGGGTCGTTGACATTTTTATCGGAACCGTTTTTCGTAAACTGTAACTAGTTGATTGTTTACCAATAGTCTCAAATAAGCGAGTACACAAACAAAAATATTGGCTATTATCGTGTATGTGTATAAGTATTGAAGTGAAAGAAACTAACAAAGGACATATTTATTATAACTTGAAAAATAAATTAAACAATACAAATAGTACTTACATTTACATTACACATTATTAAATCGCGAATCGTTTAAATTTACATTTAAAAACCTAAGTTTTTCCACTTTTCTTGTTAACCATGTTCTTCTTTTATTTAAAATTAAACCAGATTTTGAACATGTGTTCACAAGGAACAGATTTTATTACAATACTACAATATTTTATGAATATAGTGGTTAAGTTAGGATATACATGGTGATGGTATTTCCACCATGGTAATGGACAGTTCCAATCTCCGTTCGAAATTTTTTCTGGGTAATATATCATTAGACAAATACATGTCGACTTCTTTTATATCTCTCGATACAGGTGTATGTTTAGATGAGTCATGTCCAATTAATTCATCAAAAATACACCACGGACTAAGTCATCTTTATCAGTTTTTTTTCTTGTACTGGTTGATTTTCAATAGTACCTTCTTTTTCTTTTTTTTTTATAGAAGTCACCAGCTTCTTAACTCTTTGTTTTTTATAACTAGGTATTCTGATTAATGAATAAGTTTCGATTTACGATTGATCTGCATTTTCGATTTCAAATCTTTATTGATAGTTCGCCAAAGGATTTATTTATTGTAAATATTCAATTAATAATTTTTTTCTTAGTCAAAATTATTGACCTAGTATAAGAATAATAATTTTATTTTCAAAAAAATGCACATTTGCAGAAGACGCAGCTTTTATGGCCCACTTTCTGAATATTGCAATGATTGAAACTTCTCTTGACGCATTTCTGTCCGTTTCGACTACTACTACAAGTACTGACATACTGCCACCGCCACCCAAGCGTCAAAAGGTGATGGATACTTCCATTAATAAAAATATTAGTTTAGAACAAAAGAAACAAATTTTAAAAAGTTGTCAAAAAAGTACAGGGTGGATTCCTGGATATAAACCGACAACAAGAAAAACTTTGCCAGGTTCATTACTTGAGGAATGTTATATCAAAACTGAGCAAATTATTAGATCACAAGTTGTTAAAGAAGTAGAAAATATCTGTATTACTACTGATCTCTGGACATCTGGAGTAACTGAGAGTTACATCGCAATAACACGACAATATTTAACCGAAAATTTAGAATTTAAAAGGTTTTATTAGGCTGCTGCCATTTTTCTGCAAACCATAATTAAGAAAACATCGCTTTTGAAATTAGTGAAATTATTAATCAGTGGGGTCTAAAACGAAAAGTAAATTTTGCAGTAACTGATAGTGCCTCAAATATGGTCAAAGCTATTAAAGATGTTTTGGAATGAAAACATTTAAATTGTTTTGCTCATACGTTAAATTTATTGGTGGAGGACGCATTTAAATGCTGTCGTGTACAAATAGAAAAATAAAAAGTCTTTTTTTCGACAATTCGGCAAAAAACACATTTCAAAGAAATACCTTATCTTCAGAATGGCTTTTAAAGTATCAATTACAACATAACAAAGTTCCCAAACGGCCAATCCAAGACGTGGAAACTAGGTAGAACTTTACCTATTACATGTTAAAAAGAATGCCCGAATTAAAAGAGACAATCCGTTCGACATTGGTATTAGTTAATACAGACTTAGACCAAATCTAAATAATGAATACTGGATTATTTGTTCTCAACCTTCCCAAATTTTACGGCCTTTTAAAGAAATAACAAGTACACTGTTATTTCCCAAAAATACTTGAAGGGTAGTTCAGTGATTGTTATGGTACGCTGCCTGCAAGAATCTTGCAATAAAATTTGAGCAAACGGTAACCTTGCATCCATAGTATCCGACGTAGTACAAATACTAATATCGGGTTTAGCAAAAAGATTTAGAGGGATGGAACAGAGTGGCACATTGTCATTATGTACATTTATGGATTCACGATTTAAAGTGCAGGGTCTGATAAAAATAAACCTAAAAAAAAACAAAATAAAGTTAAGAAGCTGGTTACTTCTATAATTAAAGAACAAGAAGATTGTACTATTGAAAATCAACCAGTACAAGAAAAAGAAACCGATAAAGATGACTTAAGTCCATGGTGTATTTTGATCAATTAATTGGAGATGACTCATCTAAACGTACACCTGTATCGAGACTCCAATACAATGGTGGAAGAACCATCGCCATGTATATCCTAACTTAATCACTATATTCATAAAGTATTGTAAATGTGAACGCATGTTCAAAATCTGGTTTAATTTTAAATAAAAAAGAACATGGTTAACAAGAAGTAAAGTAGAAAATTTTATGTTTTTATATGTCATTTTAGACGATTCGCGATTTAATAATAACGTGTAATGTAAATATAAGTACGATTTACTATTTGTATTGTTTAGTTTATTTTTAAAGTTATAATAAATATATCATTAGATTCTTTCACTTCAATAAATATACACATAAACGATAATAGCCATTATGTTTGTTTATGTAGGTACTCTCTTTCTTGAAACTACTGTTAAACAATCATAGTTACTTGTTCACGAAAATCGTTTTAGTTGCGTTAAGAGCGTAGGCGGAAAATTTCGGGCCAATGCTTTTTAAATGCATTCATTTTTTTTTGGAATCCTGAGAAAACTAACAAAAATTTTTGAAAAATTTAAACGCAGAATGAAAGATTACATTATTACCGAGGGCCGAAAGTCGCTTAAAATAAACAAAGTTTTTTTGAATGAGATATTTGAAATTAAAAATCACACTAAATTTACTCTTTTTTTCACCCCTGTAACTTATTAAAGAAAATTAATAAGTTACAGAAAGGTATAGATTACATGGAAAAGAAAAGACTGAGGGAGACCTATATTCAGCAGTGGATAGATCCGGGTTAAATGATGATGACTTATTAAAATAAACATTATAGAAGTTTGCAGGGACTTTCGGACCTCGGTAATAATGTATTCTTTCATTCTGCGTTTAAATTTTTCAAAAATATTTATTAGTTTTCTCAGGATTGGAAAAAAATGAATGGATTTAAAAATCATTATAACGATAAAAACGTCAACGACCCACCTCTACTACTCGTTACCTGTGTCCCTACTTTGATTCGGTGCTTTGACCAGACAAACGTTGCAAAATAATTTTGTATGAAGTTTTTTTATTGTGGCGCTATATGCAGTTTATTATTTAATATTGAGAATAAGGCACAATGTGACTTTAAAATAAGCTTATTTTGATGTTTAGATTTTTAATTCGGAACGTTGGCAACGTTGAACTTTCCCTTTTTTATTATATCCACGCATGCATGTTCGGCGATATAAAGGACGGACCTAATATACCTCTCTCTTTTTAAACAGATGTTTCTCACGTAAGGTCCATACCGACCATAAACTTTTACCTATACTGTATACACTACGCATATAAAGATTAACTACTAAATTCAAATAATAGGCTATACCTGAAATATTTAAATTGATAAAATGAATAACCACATATCTAAGTCATGAAATAAACATTCAATTTACATCTAAACTACATATTATATTTGATAACTTCAAAATGATAAGGCATTGAGCAAAGTTCTTTATATGCTTAACATAAAAAAATATTGTATAAACGAAGATATGAATATTAATAATCTAAAAATACAGCGATCGGTATAGGCCTAATGTAAAAAAAATATACAGCAACAAAAATGTAGATGTTTAGGCAAAAAGTAGTTGTAAAGGTAATATTCTCAAGAAAGTAAAAAAATATATATTTTGAAAGTTGATGATATTATGAATGGTTAATTTAAAAAATTAAAATGTTTCGGAAATTTAAGAACACTTAATAAAAGCTACTTCCCATGTATGATTCTTAAT